ACAGCTGCTGAATAAGGTTGATGAATATTTGGGGCACTGTACGCCGTAGTACTCGAGTAGTTTTCAAATTACTTCGCGGTCAACGCTGTAATTTGGAAACTACTCTAGATATATTAACCTCGCCTAGATTACTAGCCTGCTAGTTTTCTAGCAGGTCCCAAGCCCAGATAAAGAGGGAGGATTGAGGCGTGGTGCTAGCAAGTTCACCCCCAAAACTTAACCAAATTTCTACAGAATCTCCAACGCATAAATATATTAAAAATACTAAAAATATATCTCTGTGTAGGAAGACATAATGGAGAGGATTTGTAGCTCAGGTGGTTGAATTTGATGTAGTGTTGTCCTCTGAGCTAGCTGGATGGTTTATTTGATTAGCTTTCATTGCCCACCGCTAGGCAAAATCTTCAGTGCATATTTCAATTTGAAGTAAATGAATTATGTTGAAACTAGATCTTTAAATAATCCTATTATTACTTAAAGGAATTACCTCTCAAATAGTTGGGCAGATTAAAATACAAATGCATCCTTGGAAGGGGCTATTTTGTTCGGAAACCTTGTGGATATCAGTAGATTTCGGTCGCTAGTTAAAATTGTAATTTTTCCACGAGTGAATCTCCTATGATTTTCTGACATTTGAATTTGTAATACAAAATTGTATTATTATTTTATATAATTTATTCCCTTGGGTTCCGAGTTGAAGACAGACCTTCATCAACGGAGGATCTTCATTCTACCCCGTTTTACCTGCAGTTCTCTACAGTCGGCTAAACGATTATGCATAGACTGTCATGTCCTCCTACAAACCGCCTTACTTATCGTTTCCAATTTACAATCCATTCGATATTTGCCGGGCACAAAATGTAACTCAACGGCCTTCATAGTTTGTGTCTCATCTATCTTCATTTCTTTCGGAGTATTTGTTTGTCAATAAGTTCTTGATTAGTTCGTCCCCCCCTCCCACACACAATGTCTTGTCGCTGATACTTTCTGACTGACCAGTGAAGGCGGTTGTTTATGAATATCTGCAAGAGGCTATTTAAAATGCTTTTCGTCACGTGCAGTACACGTTTCTATCATAATAATAAATATCTTTATTCCGAACAGTATTTATAAGACGTTCAGAATTTTTATAGGAGTTTATTGTATGACATTTTCCCTTCGTACAATATCTTCAAGTAAAATATTAATTGACAGTATATCCATTGCATTATGATATATATCTGCTTTGTCTCCCTCAAGAAATCCACGATATCTAATTGTAAGTCAATTGTAAGATGTTCAGAAAAACATTTTAAGACTCAAGGACATAACTGAAGAACAAATATCTCATGTATTGGAACACGCTTCCACCCATAATCAGGCCATTTTTCAAGTTTAATGGGAACTTGCGAATCAGAAGCTTGTAAATATTTTAAATACACACCAGAGTAGATAATACCATAAGGGCATAGACTGAAAAAAAACCGAAGGAGAGGAAATACATGCAACAGAGAGAAATGGAAGTTTTCGGTAGCCTGATGTTTAAGCAGGCCGCCTGAAACATATCGAAGAACTAACTGACTAACTGTCTTAACGTTGGTGTTGAAAATATTAACTTTTTTGTTTGTGATGATTAGGTGCAGAAGATTTTCTTACTGATTGCAGAGTAATGATGGTCTGTCTTGCCTTTCCGATTGTGTGATGCATGAACTGATGCATGAGTAGTCACATTGAATTTCTTGTTTTCTTCAATCGCGATCACTTTAGTTATTTCTTTTAAACGCTATCGAAGGATTATTAGGGAATAATCATATAAGCGATGTATTGTGGTGAGAGCAGGCTGCTAGGCAATTGGTAGACATTAATCTACGTCAATGTTTAGGTCACTAATATTGGTCATGAGAAAATATGTACAAGGCTGATTTAACAATTAATCACAGCAAACTTAACGTGGGCAAATATGATTCGCAGGTAGGTGGCTCCACTTTTCGATGGTTACCCTAAACAACCAATCAGAAGCCTGCGTTTGTCTACTTGAATAAGCTATAATAATGTACAGGAAATGTATATAAATATGTGTTGATTTGCGTAATAAAACGATCTGTTGCCGGCCCTTGTCTTCTGTTGTTACAGTATTACATTGACTCGGTTTAGTTATGAAATAACTTTTCGCGTGAAACTATATTTTCATTGGTTACAGGGTTTCATCATGAGCTAACATTGGTTAGAGAACAATTGGAAAACCAGCTTGGAGTACTGGAAAGCTGTTTCATCATAGCCTGAGACTTTTCAACAGTACGCACCCACCACAAGAAGTTTTAACCCAGAATTTTCTGACTACAATAAGAGCTAGCTCGTAGACCATTCATTAGCCACTGGGACCCGATTCAATGGCCAGCCCATGAATTCTAATTTCTGCCAATTATCGATATAGCGTAACCGGTAGCCAATGTCTTCAGTGAGTATTTGTCCTCACACCAGACCTGCTGCACCCTACTGGCCACGACTTCTCACTAGAACCACAGGTAACTACCTACCTGAATAGGGCCATTCACCAATGAGCATCTCATCGATATTCAAGAATTGGTTTATAGGGATTTGGTTGATTGGCGGAAGTTAGAATTCATGGGTTATTGGATCGGGTCCCAGTGGCTCAATGGTCTACGAGCTAGTTCATCTTGTAACCAGAAGGTCCTGGGTTCGAACCCTGTCGGTGGGTGCGTACTAATGAAGAATCACAAACTAGGCTGACGAAACAGCTGTCCAGTACTCCCAGTTGGTTTTCCAATGGTTATCTAACTGATGTCAGCTCATGATGAAATCCTGTAACCAATCAACCAAATCCCTAAAAACCGATACTTAAAAATTTACTTTTTTTTGTATTTGCAAAAACTGAACTTAAAAAATGATTGGAGGGATAGGAAGTGTTTACTGGGTCATAAAGTAAACGGAAGGGAATTCAGGAGGGTGGGGAACTTTTCCTTATCGAAAAAAGGTCATGTTTAAAAGCTGTACAATTATATTTATAGTTTTTAAGAATATGTATATAGTATTCTATTGTTCCACAATGCTCACATCTCGAGTATCTGGTTAATTCAGGTCATGCGATTCTACTTGATATATATATATATATATATATATATATATATATCTACAAAGCTAGATCCAAAATGGTCGAAGTTTTAGTTTTTACATTTGTATTCGATGAAGGTGCCAGAAATTCGCCATTTGAAACCGGGACTCTGTGTGCTGGAAATGTTTGTCCCGACTTCTTTTTCTACCATGGCCTTTACACGCTATCTTATTTCCGATTATTGGTTTGTAGGGATTTGATTTGATTGGTTACAGGATTTCAGCATGAAGTGAAATCGGTTGGAGGACCACTGAAAACCAGCACTGGAGTACTGGACAGCTGTTTCGCCAGCCTAGTTTGAAACTCCTCATCAGCGTGCACCCACCGCCAGGGTTCGAACCTAGGACCTACTGGTTACAAGGCGAGTAAGCTCGTAGACCATTAAGTCACTGAGACCTACCCGGTCTAGTGGCGAGTCTATGAACTCCAATTTCTGCCAATTCATAATATGGTGCGACCACTAGCGATTGTCATCCGTGATGAGTATTTGTCCTCACACCCGACCTGCTGCATCCCACTGGTTGCGAATTCTCACTGGAATCCCCGTGACCGCTTACCTGACTTTTGTTTTCCTTCATGTTCCCAGTGGATTATAGGGCTTCAAGCTAGTGGCTTGAAGTATCTGTAGCAGTGTTTATTTTTACAGAATGGGGTTGCTAGCCTCATGCCCAACCTTTCGACTTTACCAGGATTATTTCTGGCTTAGCGAGGTAAAGGGATGCATCGGCCGGGGACCGAACTCCGGACCATATGCATGGTCGGTGAGCACCCTAACCACTGTGCCACCGACGCTTACCTGAACAGAGCTTCATTATTTGTTGGAATCTGGTCTGAAAAAGTGATTCAGTTTTTCTTTACCTTATTTTCACTTATCGACTGAACACTCAACTAAGTTGATTAGCATTTAATCACGATCTTACCCTTTGTCAGATTTGAAGCCTCTAACTTCATTGTCCTGATGATTACTAAGTGATTTATTTCTGCCTTCAGAAACCTCCTGTGTTCGATTGCATCAGTTATGGCACTCCCCTTTAACGCTCAGCAGTAAACCTAATGTATCACAATACACCATCATTATATTGCATATAATTTGCTGTGTTCTGTTTGTTTTAATCGATTAAGATATGACCTCTAATAGTGTTTTCTACTCTAGTGAGCATTTAAAAAGTCTACAATCTGTTGATTAGGAAATTTCTACTAAATTTGATAGAAAACAAAATCGCGGGTTCCAGCGTATGTATGCCAATGCATAAGATAACTGTCCCTTAGATTCTTGGTACGAAATTGCAATGTCTGAGAAATAAAGACTAATCGTCACCTACAGTCTTCAATTATTCAGCTATCAATGAGACAAAACATATACTGCTTCCCCCTTTTTTAAATTGGCTTTCAACTAAATGTTGTACACTTCTGTGAGGGTAGGGAGAAGAAATATCATGATAGGCTGGTTTTCGCTTCACGTAAGACAGCGGTGTGTCAGATGATTTACTTTCAGTTTACTCTTTCACTTCAGAAACTCATTTCCTCGAGGAAATTTACTCGCATGGAGGATTTCATCATGAGCTGACATCAGTTAGAGAACCACTGGAAAGCCAACTGGGAGTACTGGACAGCTGTTTCGTCCCAGCGGCTCAATGGTCTACGAGCTCGCCTTGTAACCATAAGGTCCTGGGTTCGAATCCCAGTGGGTGCGTACTGATGAAGAGTCCCAAACTAGGACGAGACAGCTGTCCAGTACTCCCAGCTGGTTTTCCAGTGGTTCTCTAACTGATGTCAGCTCATGATTAAATCATCCATGTAATCACCTTTTGATTCATTGTGAGTACTTACTTAATTAGATCGATAGGCCAGCCATACTTATATTCAAAGGCCAATATTTTGCACTTACCATTTCTTTATGACTTGTATGATAGGTTTGTGATATAAGAGGAAAGTTTTCTTTACCCAATCGATTTCTGAGCATGAGTAGATGAGCAAACTGTAAAAAGAAACGTGAATAAACAATAAAAAGGAGTTAGTACTGCCTTCTTAGTTTGATTGTTAAGCAAAAAGAAACAGCGCTTTAAAATTGGATAGAGAAATTCAAGTCTTAACATTAAATTGTCAAATATGAAGTGTAAGTATATTCGGAAAAGTGACTGCTCTAAACTAAATGGCTTTCTATCAGAAAACAGCCAGTGGTCCAAGAAAAATGATCTTACCTTAAATCCCTCTAAATGTCAAACAGTCAATTTCACCTTCAGGCATAAATCTGACCTAAACAAACTGGTTAGCACTAACTAGTTGAGCAAAATAGATGGCACTTAAATTGAAACCAAGTCGGAAATTAAATATCTCGATATCATTCTATCTGCTGATCTTTCCTGGTCATCTCATATCTTGACGATTTCTACGAAAGTATTCCGTCTTACCTTGTACATAAAGAAGTTAAGAAATTCTGGTGTAATCCAACCCTTACTCCTACAATTTGTTAACTCCCGTATTCTGCCTATTATTCTCTATTGCTCCCCTTAGTCTTTCCTGGGCTATTGAAGAATGACTATATCTTATTACGTAGGATGTTAAGGGATGTCAGTAGGGTAAGCGACGTGCCACTTAACCAGCTTGTAATTTTCTGGTCGACAGGCACTTGGACTCGTGTGAAAAATGGGCTAAATCCATTCTATCTGTGTAACTCACACCACCACCCTCTTCATTCACAACTCTCCCCTTGTATCTCATCAGTCAGAACCAAAAGCCTATATAGAAAACTATATGCTCGGACTACCAAGTACAAAAACCCAACTCAACCATACCCTACTTAGCTCGTGTTGTGTGCGATAAAGGAAGCATTAGGTGTGATACCTTTAACTTAATAAATAATCAGTAGAACAACTGGGTCTCGTCTTTCCAACTCATATCATTTATAGGTAGAACGTTTTCTTTCTTTCTTTTCCTTTTTTCTCTCTATTTTCTGTTATGTGCTGTTTTGTTTATCTCTTCCTTACAAACTCTACTCAAAACATTCTTCTTCGTTCTTTCACACTCTGTATATCTCGACCGTTTTCTTACCGCTTAGGCCAGTAAATATGCTAGTAGCATCTACTTTTCTAACACCTTCAAACACTCTGTTCAATTTTTTGCTTTGATACCAACATGCTAATATGTTGTTGTCATAATGAACTGAAATTACCCTTAATCTATGTAGAATTTTATTTATTGATAATGTTGAAACTGGATGCAATACTGTAGTGAAACGCTGAGAATTCCATTTTGTATCACAAGTACTGTTTCGGAATAAGGCAAATTATTATTGTTATTATTATACTACATATATAGAACAAGACAAAAGCAACTAAGAATATCTACAATTAAAACATTTTTAGGGACTCGTTTTGTAATGGTTCGATTTGTTTCAGGTGTCACCATGAATTAATATTAATTACAGAACAGGCGGAAACAAGGGTGTTTTGAACAGCTGTTTCTTCTTCCCAGCTTGGAACTTTTCAGCAGTACCAACCAACCGAGGTTTCAGCCCAGGACCTTCCGGTTACAAGGTAAGCTTGTTGACTGTTTATCCACTGAGACTCGATCCGATGGTCCATGAATCCTAATGCCAACATTGTGTTTAAATCACGAATGGGTAGAGGTTGGAATCAATGAGCCATTGGATGACGTCCCAGTGGCCAAATGTTCAACTCGGTTGCCTTCTAACCATGGCAATAGTCTAGCACTGATGAAAGCTCTCAAAGTGGGGCGAAACAGCTGTCCAGTACTAAATGGCATTCATCGGTTCTTTATCTGATATCAATCTGTGGTCAGACTTGAAGCAAAACAATCTTAAAATATGAATTATCTATCCGTATCAATAAAATATTAGTCAATAAAACAGAACAAATTAGTATAATTTGGTAGAATGGATTCACAATGCGTAGTTTGTTACAAGTTTGGTTGAATGATCTAGTTCGTTTTAAGTGGCGAGAATGCCATAGAACCTTTTAGCCAACAGTTCATCTTTGGCTTACACACTTTAGCCCTTGTCTCTTGTGCATAGTCAGCAGATCAGTGGCATATTTCAAAACTTTTGTATACGACTGAAGTGTCGCTTGAAGTTTAGGTATACTTGTAACGACAGAAGACAAGGGCCAGGAAACAGTTCGTTAATTTAGGGAAAATAACACATATTTATAGATTTTCATGTACATTATTATAAATTATTGTAAACAATCAAACACAGTCCTCCAATTGGTTGTTTCTCGCTGAACATTCAGCTTTCAACTCTTTGTGACCGTTTCTTGAAGTTGAGATTATCTATCTGCAAATTTTATCCGCCTATACAAAGTCTTCTGTGAATGGTTGTTGAGTCAGTCTTTGTTCTAATTTATCTCAAGACCAATATTGGGGTTGTACACATTTGCGTAAATTACTGTCTACCAATTTTGGCTAGTAAGCAGCTCTCACCACATACTTATAAAGGTAGGGCACATTTAGAAAATAGTGTGTTAAGATACACACCTAAATGCTAGATGAAAATTTATTAAATACCGTAAGTGATTTAACGGATCCCTAACAGGTTGCAGACTTTTGTCAACAGCTGCTCTCTTAGATGCCTCCATTATGAAGATCAGAAACAAGAAACTATGCGAACGAATCAATCAAGAAGCTATTGGTAAGCAAACGGCCCTAAACTAAATCCTTCCAAATGCGAGACTGTCAATTTCAGTTTCCGATGTAAACGAAAGTTAAATGAAGCTGTTGGTTCCTATGACCTTTGCAGAATTGATGATACTGATATAGAAATCAAGTCTGAAGTTAAGTATCTTGGATTAATTCTTTCTTCTGACCTATCCTGGTCTTCTAACGTCTTAGCGATTTCTAAAAGAATATTTCATCCGACTTTTTACATTAAGAAGTTGAGGCACTCAGGCGTAACTGAATCCCTCCTCTTACAGTTTGTCAACTCGTGCATCTTACTTTCTCTTCTTTACTGTTCACTCTTATTCTTTCCTGGATTGCTTAAAAAAGACTATGTCATACTTCGTAGAACCCTGGAGACTGTTAGTAGGACGAGTAGTATCCCACTGGGCCATATCATTGACATTGTCACTGATAGGCACTTGATGTCATGCAACAAATTTGTTAAGGAAATTTTGTCAGACTATGAGCACCCACTTTACCCTCAGCTCCAACCTTGTGTCTCCTCAGGTAAAACAAGAAGTCTTTTCAGAAGACTTTATGCACGTACGTCTAAGTATGAAAATTACACTATACCATATTTCGCGGCACGTACTCTATGTGATGAAAATAGTGTCAGGCATGAACTAACTAACCTTCTTGGCACTACTGAATAAACCATTTCCTCCACGCTTACAACATCAACCTTTATTGTTATTGTTCTTCTTATATTTATAATCCTATCAATTTTTTGTTTTTCTTTATTTTTTTTCATATGTGTGAACATAATTTAAGCTGTGTTAGAACGCTTAATTTTGTATTTTCCCTCACTATACTATATCAACAGAACATGAGATTCAATAATCTATAACATCCTAAAATTTCCAAACTGAATCGACAATGCTGTTTGAAACCAACTCACTCTTATTATTATTATATTTAATGATCTCATTTCGTGCTTTGAATATTTTTGACTTTATATCGTAAACGTGGACAAATTCCTCTGGTTACTTCTGTTTTAATTTTTAATTTTGTTTACATTCTAAGTAAATCAGATGCAATATTGTTATAAATGCTGAGAATTCCATTCTGTATTATAAGTATTGTTTTTGGAATAAAGTAAATTATTATTATTATTAAAAATATGTAGAAGAAAATGGAAACGGATCGGATACACGCTATTGAGACCGTTGAATGACATCGCCTGCCATACAGTCACTCGTGTGGAAGGTGAGTGGAAGGCGTGAATTAGGGCATGAGTCCGAAGGTGATATGAAGACTATCGCCTGGGGAGAAGATGAAAGCCTATGGGGAGTAGTGGACTTAACTGATTTGGAGAGCAGAAAATATAACAAAGCAGAGATTTGTTGTTGAAGGCTTACATTCCACTCAGAACCCAAGGGAGTAATAATGTGATGAAAGCTGGCTGCGAACAAGCCGAAATTGTAGACAGCAATTTACGTCAATGTAATGTCCAGAATCGGAGTCATAAGAAAAACAATAACAATGCTTAACATTGAGAAACCTGCCAACCAATCACAGTAGATTTAGTGTGTGCAAGTACGATTCGCAGATATATGGCTTAACTTTCTGAGGAACGGTCGTAAAGGCAGTACAGAATAACCTTCATCAAAAAGGCAACCAATCAGAAGATTCTACTTCTCCGCTGACAATAATGTATATAAAAATCTATAAATATCTCTCGATTTCCTCAATAAAGAATCTGTGTTTTATGAGGTTGTGTTCTCTGAGCTGGATAGTTAATTTGCGAAGCTTTCATCGCCCTACTAGGTGACATCTTCACCTCAGCTCATTCTTCATTTTGAAGTGAGCTTTTAGATTTCTCCACAAGTTTATTTATCATCTCTCCTGGTGACCTTGGACGTGACTGGTTGTTTTTGTGTGTTTTCACACCTTCTAGGTTACTTGTATTGGAACTGATTGTTTCTTTGACTTGAACTTTGACCCTTTGTGTGTGTGTGAGGTTTCTTTCATATCGGTTGATAAATTTTGTCTTTATAGATGTGTGTCTATTGATTCATGATTCACTGGAATGCCAAGCTTCTAAAAATTCTCTAGCATACTTGCTGTTTCTTCTGTCTAATATTTGAACGTCTTCCCAGTCGAATTGATGTCTATGGTTGTCTGTATGCAGTGAGGTAATATGAGGGAGTGTATATCATGTCTTTTGACGGCTAGCTTATGTTCATGGATACGAAGACGAAGGGGACGTCCACTTTGGCCAATGTAGTGTTTTCGCAGTTGTTACAATTTATTTTCGTTGTTGAGTCTTTTGGTTGAAATAAAATTGAGTGAAGTGACTTTTTTTGGTTTGTGTACGACGTCAATTCCTAAAGGTTTGAAGAGTCTTGTAGTGATTTCTGAGATATCCTTTATATATGTTAGGGCGATTTTCTTTGTGCTTTCTTTGGAGGCTACATTGGCCAAAGTGGACGTCTCCTTCATCTTCGTATCCATGAACATAAGCTAGCCGTCAAAAGACATGATATCCACTCCCTCATATTACCTCACTGCATACAGACAACCATGAACATCAATTCGACTGGGAAGACGTTCAAATATTAGACAGAGGAAACAACAAGAATGCTGGAGAATTTTTAGAAACTTGGCATTCCAGTGAATCATGAATTAATAGACACACATCTATAAAGACAAAATTTATCAACCGATATGAAAGAAACCTCACACACACACATAGGATCATAGGGCTCAGAGAGCACAACCGCATCAAAATCATCCACCTGAACTACAAGTCTTCTCTATTATATTTAAAGTGTCTGTTACCTGGCCCTTGTCTTCTGTCGTTACAATAATAATAATGAGCATACGTATTTCGACCACTATTTTCAGTCAGCAATCGATGTATTGCTACAACGAATTTATACATGTAGTCTATTTTTTAAGCACTAGTTGCTGTAGTACAAACAACTTCTTCGAAGAAACATTGATAATGATGAACTTAAGAAAGAAAAGGGTTTATGAGAAAAGTTGTTCAATAATTTTTACGAGATTCTCTGGTGAATAAATCTCACAGGGATCAATTCCATTTCATCAAAAGTAGATTATAACCAAAAGATACCAGATTCACGATATTTCCTGTATTGGTCATTTCGACTTTCATTTTGAGTTGAGCATAATTTGTGATTTTGAAAGGAATATTTTCGATCTTAGGTCAAGTTTCTACACAGTCAAACGAAATAATATGAATAGTGTATGGGATAAATATTTTTCGCGATTTATTCAGTGTCCTTAAATCACTTAAGAAAGATTCACATATAGCTTGGGGCATAATTTCCTAGTATTCTGTTTTGTATAGTATTAAAACTTACCAAAATCCGACTAACATTTCTATCTTGAAAACGTGAGCTTTTTATAATTTCAAGCTCGTTAACTCACTACAGATAATGTGAAGTAACTTTAATCAAGAATATGTACAATTCACACAAGTACAACAATAAAATAACCATGGAAGGTCATTTCTGCAGACGATTAACGCATATCTGATGCTCTTTAGTAACTGGCTATAGAATGAGGTTGCCTGGACTTCTCGTAAGACATCGTCAGCAGTGTGGGGTCTGCCAGGTCGGGTGTAAGGAAAAGCCACTCACCAATGACAGTGGCTGGTGGTGGTCACGATACAAAATCAAAAGTTAGTGGAAGCCGTAGTTTATAGGCAAATGGACTGATTCGCCTTGTCATCAGAGGATTCTGCGTTCGATATCAGGTAGGTGGGTACTGTTGAAGAGTCCTAAACTAGGAGTAAAAACAGCTGTTCAATACTGTTTGATTTTCCAGTGTTTCTCTAATTGATGTCGCCTCTTGATTAGACTTCAAACAGGATAAGGGGCAATCACTCAGCAGGAGAAAGTAAAACAAAGATATCTTTTGCATTCATGTCGAATGGATCAATACAACCCAAAAGAAGTGAGATTATAATCAACACTGACAACTGCTTTAATATCTATGTTAATAAGTGATATTTCAAATACATTATAGGAATTCAAGTTAATTAGAATATTCCAGTATTTGGATTTTTGTCGTGAATCAACATCAGTTATGAAGATCATTGAATACCAGCTGGGAGGACTGTACAACTGTTCTATCTCATTTCTCTGGACTCCTCAGTGGTGCACACTCATGACTTCATCACCAGGGATCGAACTCGGAGCTCTTCAGGTTACGACACCAAGTTCAATGACCATTCAGCCCTTGCTGGGCTAGAATTCAATGACTCTTCAATTCTAAATTTTTCAACTCATGATATAGCACTTTCCATCACCAATCACTACTGGATGGATTTCCTGAAACTGTAATGGAATCTCGTGATCAGTGGAATACACAGCATGCTCATCGAAGGCATTGGTAAGAACAGCATTATATCACAAGTTAACAGAGTTAAAATCCATACGGCATTGAATTTCAGCTTAACAACGGCTGAATGATCAACAAGCTTGGTTTTGTAACCAGAAGTTTCCGGGTCCCATCCCTGGCGGTGGAGTCGTAGGATCGTACTTCTGAAGATTCTCAGAGTAGGAGGAAACAACTATCCAGTATTGGCAGCTGATTTCCTATTGGTGTCTCTGACTGATGTATTATTGGTTCGGGACGAAAATCTTAAAACTGAAATCACTCCAATCCAATCTCCACAAATCCTATAATCTGAATAATCAGTAAATGACAAGTGAGGTATGACTTGAGTACCGCTCTAATCCCACCCATGAGAAACACCCTATGCAAGCATCTCCAATAGTAATATTTGGACAGTAGCTTTTTATAAGTGGCTCACAGTCATATACACTCTTTGAGAACTTGTTCATAATAAAAATCTTAGGGTGGTGTTCTTGCAGGACTTGGAAAATAAAGGTCAGCGTTAGTCAGCATTATGAAAATATTTGAGTAGAACTACATACTATTGATTGACTGAGGTGAGTAGTTGTCTGTATCACTCACATCAACCAGGTAGTGCTTGCTAGCTGGTCAGCCTTTTTGCTCGTTTGAGGCCGAGCTCATCAGTGATTTACGGGGACTAACTCAGCTCATAGAGTCAAATTAATTCAAATCATCTGATTTCCAGGCAGCCACTTGGGTGAATTCCCTTTACCATATATCAGATTCGCAATCCACAAAAATTAGTTAGCAGTTTGCACTGTACACATTTTGGATGGTTTGAATTGTTTCGGTTTCCTGAGTCTAGTCCAGCCTGGTAAACTGTTGATGGGCTCGGCTCAAAATGAGCGAAATGGACGTCCGGTGTTTACACTATCTGAATATATGGTTGTTGGCGTTTTAAGGGGAATGCAACTACTCAGCTCAATCACTGAGTAGTATGCAACTTCATGCAAATATGCTTGCCTTCATGATTATCATTCATCCTATTAAATCACAGATCACATGTATTGTGATCCAAATAATTTTGGTTCTCAAAAGAAAACTGTGGTAAAATCTCAACCCTCAAACTGTGTGTACAGTGCAAATTTGTAGATCAGTAACTTGAATTACATAAATAGTTTTTTATTGTTTGATTTCAGCTTGATTCTACACCGTATATTTGGTAGCTCAAATTTCGCAGGCCGACCACAGATATCAGGTGTGCGTCGGCACGAGAGCAAACCTTGGACCATGTTCATGGTCGGCGAGATTCCTAACCACTGTGCCACCGACGCACATATGAAAAATCAGGTTTTACTAATAACTTAATAAAAAACAACATAAGCTGTAAAGATATTTCATCATTTATTACAAATCATTCGAGTTGGTAGAAAAAGCTATCACAGCTCAGTTTGTAACCGAAAAGAGTTTACACTTACAAGCCATGGTCGATTCTTCATATTGTAAACTGCGTGCAGTGTATTCATACTCGGTGTCCCGCCATACATTAATCCAGTAAGTATAGGTTGCCAGTCTTCATTCGAATCACTTGGATGTTGGCGTATTAGAACAAAGTCAGGCTTGAATGATCTAATTAAAAAAAATAATTAAAAATGGATTGATCATTGACAAATACGGAACTCACATTAGGCAAAATCAAACAATCAACGTTTATGAACGCGTTAGTACTACTGTAAACGGCTGTATGAGGCTGACTTTATGCTCTAGTTGCTAATATATATATATATATATATATTGTAGCAAAACTTTCCATACCTGAAGAGTGATTCGCAGAAACCAGCGCATCTGAGAATTTAAAAATAAAGCAAGAACAACAGTGTTTTTGCAGAATAAAATGTCTAAAGCGAACAAATGCTTTAAACAGTGCCATAGCCAGACACCGGTTATGAGGTGAATATCACAAAACCGTTCAAAATTATCAGCGGGCTAAAGAGGGATTTCCATCTAGCGCCTGAAATCCGAATTTTGCATTCAGGAAGAGGTGGTTATCAGTCTCTCCTTACTCTGATAATTCGGTGTTGTTTTCATCCTGTCTTTCATCTGGTGACGTAACGGTGAAAGTTTCAATTTTGAATAATTATTATTGTTTGGGATAAAGTGCTTATTATTACTATTCACAAAATAATTGAGCAAAGAATATCCTTTCGATAAATTCCTCTTCTGAATATACAATTATATATGCATTTTTATATACATAGAATATTCTAGATTAGTAGTCAATAACATTATTAGTGTTTTCTAAATAATATCGTTTTGTAAAGTAAGATCAATGCAAATACAGTTCATTAAAGATGCTTAAATTATAATAATAATAAGAAGAATATAGTAGCGAATAAAATATCAAATAAAATTAGGAAAATTCCACAAAAGGAACTAAACAGACAAATTGATGGTGTGGCATTGGGGTCACCACTAGGACCCATTCTAGCCGACATTTTCCTTGCGAAACTAGAAAATGGGCCTTTGAAGGATGTTATTAATGAACTCGAATTCTATTGTCGGTACACTGATGATGTATTTTTGTTTATGAAAAATTAGAAGGAAGCAACGAACATCCTGGATAAATTTAACGAGGTTCATCCTGCGATAAATTTAACTATTGAGAAAGAAAAAGGCGTCTAGTATTCCATTTTTAGACGTCTTTATGACCAGAAAACAGGATGGCACAATAACAAGAAGCGTATATAGAAAACCTATATCAACACATCAGTATACTCATTTTCTCAGCTTCGTGCCTTTGAAATACAAACGCAATCTGACAAAGTGCTCGGTTCACAGAGCAAGAGCAATCTGTTCAGATGAATGTCTTGATGAGGAACTTTATACTATTAAATGGTTGCTAAGTGAAAATATTTATCCAGAAAAGTTTATTGATAAGAATATGAATCTAAAGTCAAAGCAGCTCAAGTTACTAACAGTTCCAAAAAGGCCTTGTTCTTACAAATACAGTTCTTTGAGGACAGACAAAATTAGCGAGATACTAACACAGCGCCTTAGAAATGCGCATACCGCATACCTACGAATCTTAATTTTGCCTTAAGAGTTCGACTACTAAATATTGCTGAGGCTGTGGGGATCCACATTAACAAGCCTAATTTATGCATCCAAAAGAAGTTACTTCAGACATTATCATTACCTTGGCCATCCAGGTGTGAATGATCCTGAATTTTTGTGGAATTCCCCTAATTTTAGTTGATATTCTATTCGCTACTATATTCTTATTATTATTATAATTTAAGCATCTTTGATTAACTGTATTTGCATTGATCTTACTTTACAAAACGATATTATTTAAAAAACACTAATACTGTTATCGACTACTAATCTAGAATATTCTATGTATATAAACATGCATCTATAATTGTATATTCAGAAGAGGAATTTATTGAAAGGATATTCTTTGCTCAATTATTTTGTGTTTTATAGATGTCTGAATGAATATTTGTGCATTATTATAATTGGATGTATGTATATATTGATTGATTCTTTGTTTCTGTAGACACACTTAATATTGTCTTTGGACTGTAGGCAGCTGATGAGAAGCCGACGAACGAAATAAACAATGATGGCACCATTTTATTCTGCACAAACTGTTTCTCTTGCTTTATTCAAATTCATCAGGGGAAATAAGTGTTTGAAGTATATGGGAATCTTTCCAACCGAAAATAAAACTTTACGCATATTGTGACAGTGTATTGTTCCTTGTTCTTTCTTTATTTTTCCTCTTACTTGATAGCTTATTCAACCTGTAAGATGTGCATTTGGACAAGCAGAATTTGCGTTACATGTGCACCTTCCAGTTGACTGATACTCACAAACTCATACTGCTGTTTTTGAGAAGGCATAACATCAAATGATCTGTTCCCAGTAAATACGAGGATACTTCCTTGATTCAAATACTGTTCAATTTTGTTACTATCTGCATTACATTACACTTAAAATGTTCTATGGATTATACCACGAAATCGAGTGAAACTGAAAGTTCCGTCTAACCACTTGTTACCGTCAGCAGGTAATAAATACTAGAACAAGACATACAAGCGAACAATACTGCCCAAAGTACATAAATCAGGACTTCCTCTTCTCCCAGTCCTAGACATGTCTAATTCCACCTGCCATGGAGTGACAAAGTGGCTAGGTGAACTCCTCCAACCGTTAAACAAGATGTTAGTAAATCATAGTGTCAAAGACGTTTTTGAATTCATTGCAAACATAGGTGATATCAATGTAAATTGGAAGCAAATGATATCCTTAGATTTTGCATCACCGTTTACCAATGCACCACTATGGAGACTAGGGAATTCATGCTCCAACAGATACTAGAAAAACAGTTCAACATCGGAATTCCAATTATTAGTCTGAAAGTGTTGCTTTAAGATGTACTATGAATGTACACTTCACATTCAACAACCTTTACTACAGACAAATCGACGGTATCGCCATTGGCTCTCCATTGGGTCCAATTTTGGCAGATTTCTTTCTTGCTAGGGTTGAAAATGGTCCATTGAAACAAGTAATACAAAAAACTGATTCTTATTTTAGCTATGTTGTTAATACGTTTACTATTCTTGATGTGAAAGCTGACAAGAATGAAATGTTAAAAAAGTTTAATGATGCACATCCATCACTCATCTTCACTTGTGAAGCAGAACATGATCGTATGCTACATTTCCTGGAAGTCCAATTGAGCAAAATATGTCTTGTTCTAATATTAATAATGGGACTATTTAATAAATACTAGTTATCTCATTTTATTAAGGTATATAAAATGTTTTGCATCACGGTGAATTTCACTCCTCACATTAATTTTATGTTACTGGGATATCGGATCTGTGGAGTACATAACAATATGAGTGTACACTTTTTTTTAGTTGTTGAATTTAGAGACATTGTACATGATTTTTGTTTAAAACGATTCATGTTTAAAGATATATAACCTACGTGTACAATACGAAATACACTGTACTGCTGGAAGCTTCACCTTCTCTCTGGTCATTACTGCTTACTTGCTCCACTCACACCGTGTTGTATACTTTGGATTTATTGCAGGAGTCTATTATCCTTATACGAAGACAACTCTACAACCGGTCCACAGCATCTACCAGCAAACGCAATTCCAACAGTGAACGCTCCTGTGGATTAGATTAATAATTTTTAGCAGAGGACTTTAACGTTATATCCAAGTAACCTTTTTATTAATATAACGCATTACTGAATATTTTGATAATATACTGTTACTCTATCATCTCATTGACTTGGATTTTTATTCTCATATTTGTAATGTTAATGAGCTCTCCTGACAGTCCCCTACAGATCATTTCTCTGAAAGCTTGAGCTATATCAATGTTACCAGTAATTTCATGGTGTCATTTGAAGTAACGTCTTTATTAAGAGGGATACAAATCAATGAAACTATCGAGATCATTCGTCAGTATTCTGATCTTCTCCTACCCCCCAGTGTCATATTTTAAAGGTCTACTGCTAATGTACACCCAAGGATGAACAATTACAGTTTGATTACACAGCTTACCACAAAATAGATAGTGTAGTTATGCATAGTCCCTTGTTAGCCCTGTTTTAGCTGACATCTTCATATCAGACTTTAAAAGAAGAAAGCTGGAGCCTCCAATTGACGAAACAAATTCTTATTATAGATATGTCAGGGACAAATTTTTTATAGTAAGCAACAGTGAAAGCCATAAGTCCTACCTACTTGGATTATTCAACGACATATATATAAAAATATTAAATTTACTACGTAACATGAAAGTGATGGGAAATTTTGTGACCAGTAGGGTGCAGCAGATCGGGTGTGAGGGCAAATACTCGCCGAAGACATTGGTTAGTGGCCGCGCTATGTCGTGAATTGGAAGAAGTTAGAATTCATGGGCTGGCCATTGGATCGGGTCCCAGTGGCTGATGAATGGTCTACGATCTCGCTAGCCTTGAAATCAGAAGGTCCTAAGTTCGAAACCTGTTGGTGAGTGCGCACTGCTGAAAAGTCCCAGACTAGGACGAAACGACTGTCCAGTACTCCCAGTTGGTTTTCCACTGGTTCTGTAACCTATGTCAGCTCATGATGAAATCCTGCATGCAATCAAAACGGAAAAATCCCTACACACCAATACTTAAATTTCATTTCCTTGACACTGCCATACAACGCCTCGAAGATGGCAGTCAGTTTACAGGAAACCTACATGGAATGGGCATTATTGAATTTAATTGGTTTTGTACAAGTAGCTTCAAACGACCACTAGTCAAGACTCTGTGCTATAGAGATAAAGAAATATGCTCTACAAAGAAATTAGAGGAAAGATTTATGATTCTGGAAAAGATGTTGAAGAGCAATGGGTACCGTCAAAGGTTCATTAAGAAGTATGGAAGATCTCAAGGCTAAAATGTAAAATAAATCACAGTGAGAAAAAAGCCTGTCTTCATTCAACTTGATTTTAAAGGCGAAGATATTGCAGCCATTGTCAACAGAAGATTGAGGACGTCACTAGCCTTAGTCTTTTCTGCAGCTAAGGTGATTCTCATTTACATGTATTTGAGGTAGCAGTTTCATTTGTAGAACAGAAAGAAGGGCACAACTTCAATTTTCCGAACACTCACAAAAGAGTTTACGTCTCAGGTAAAAAAAAGTGTACCCAATTCGGTTACTAGACATCTCATCAATACGAGTCATCACATAGGCATCACGAAATCCTTCAAAATTAGCATTTTTTATTTTTTTTTTATTTTTTTTAATTTTTTGATTACAGCTTGATTCCACACCGTATTTTTGTACAAGTGTGGAATTTTTCAGCTTGGATATCGGTAGCCCAAAATTCGCAGGCCGACCATAGATATCAGGTGTGCGTCGGCGTGGGTTCGAACCCCGGACCATTTGCATGGTCGGCGAGAGTCCTGACCACTGTGCCACCGACGCACATTAAACAAAACAGCTCATTTCTCCCCAAGTTTACTAAAGCAGTCGCTGTCAGACACCTGAAATCAGATTTATTTGTTCAGAAAGAAGCAATGATCAGTCTTTCTTTGCCCTTCAATCTCTCTTTCATTTGATTAGATAACCCTTCGTTTTAACCTCTTCCCCACTATGATATAGTGTAACTTTTTTGTCTGCTGTTTCTACGATTTGAGCTGAACTCATCAATTTACCCAAGTCATTAGTTATTCGCCATTACGTAACTCCCTTGCCACTTTGTTTAAACTTTAACTTTCTGGATATAAACTGTACAGGTAAAATTTCTAAGCCCTATTTACTGTGCGTCGGTGGCACAGTGGTTAGGACTCTCGCCGACCATGCATATGGTCCGGGGTTCGAGCCCACGCCGGCGCACACCTGATATCTATGGTCGGCCTGCAAAATTTGAGCTGCCGATATCCATGCTGAAAATTCCATACTTGTACCAAAAATACAGTGTGGAATCAAGCTGTAAATCAAAAATCAAAAAAAAAGTTTTGAGTCTCCTGTCAATTGACATTATTTCACAATTGCAACTTTGTCAAAATTGTTATTTATATAAACACAATAATTTCTTTGGATTGTACACAGCTGATGAGAAGTCAACGAAATATATATAGGATGGTAGCATCTTATCCTGCATAAGCTGTTGTTGCTGTTGCTTTATTCACCGAAAACCAGCCAGGGAGTACTGGACAGCTGTTTCATCCAATTAGTTTGGGAATCATCGGTAGTACGCATCCATCCAGCGACGGTTTGAATCCAGGACCTTCCGGTTAAAAGGCAAGCCCGTAAACTAAATCTTGAAAATTATTCTGATGCTCACTTGTGACTGGCTGATACAGGATGGAATTTTCTGGAGTTCTAGTGAGAAGTCTTCACCAGCGAAGTTCATGCAGTGGGGAGTTGGGATGGATTTCCAACCAGTGACATTGGATGCTGGTCGGGCTAAATGTATCATGAGTTTGTGTAGAAGTTAGAATTCATGGACTGGTGGCTATTGAATCAGGTCGCCAGTGCCTGAATGGTATACAAGCCGGCATGCCTTCCTTGTAAATGGAAGGTCCTGGATTCGAACCGTGGCTGAGTGGGTGCGAACTTCCAATTATTCATAAACTAATTGGATGAAACAGCTGTCCAGTACTACCTGGCTAGTTTTCAATGGTTCTCTAACTGATATCAATCCATGGTCAAACTCACAAAAACAAATCTAATCCTTACAAACCAACTCTTAAAAATATATAAATTTGTTACTCTATTTTAACTTGATTGAAATGAATCAGTCGGAGCCATTCACCATATGGATTGGTGCGACGAAAGTGGAAGCCTAAAAACACGATAGAAACTATGAATAATCTATTCTGCTCCCATTGGAAATACTACCATTCACTGAGATTTAAACACATTGAGTCGGTAAGGCTTTAATTACTGGGGTAAAATGCGTGTTCAAAATTATGCTTATTAGCCCCTTCTTATATTATTGATTAATTCATTTAGCTATGGTTAAAACTCCTCAAAACTGTCATATTTTTTTAATATATCTCTAAGACCATCTACCTAGACAAATAAGTTTAGATAATGAATTATCTTCAGGATTTCCTTTAATTTTTTTTTATTAGATTAATGTAACATTCACTTCTGTTTAATGCACAGTAAAAATATTGCTGTTTTCGCTACACTAATACGTTACTATAGTAACTTTTGTAAAATAAGATAAACAATAAACAACTTTGAACTAAAAATTTACAATAAATTTTTTTAGAAAAATAGAATTGTTATACAACCAGTGTATACTGTGTTTGTTTGTAAGACTCACCTTAAAGGCTTTGAGCGCATTTGATCATGATATATGCTAACAACACAACCGTTATCACTGTAGGCTGTCATTGTGATCTCAGAGAATTGAGCCTGAAACAATCAAATGATAATAAAAAGTAGAACTTCTGTAGACTATTAGACTGATAGGGATATCAATGAACCTGTTTAATCCTACTGATGAATAATGTTTGTATAAGAGGCTGAATGTTGGTCCAGGGCTCGATTCCCAGTCAACTCACTTCTAAACTTTCCCAGGCAGCTAATAAGACTGGTAAAGGAGAAAAGTTGGATGGTGTGAGACTAGCAGCCCCAACCCGTAAAAAATCAACCGCACTGTTACCGAAATTTCAAAGCTCCAGCTTGAAGCAGCCCTATGTTCCAATGGGAGCGTAAAGGAATAAGATAGAATGACTTACCTTATTCAGTTTCTACTGAGAAGTCGTGACCAGTAGAGTGCAGCAGGTCGGGTAGACAAATACTTGCCGAAGACATTGTTTAGGGGTCGCGCTATGTCGTGAATGGGCAAAAGTTAGAATTCATGGGCCACTGGATTGGATCCCAGTGGCCTAATGGTCTACAAGCTAGCTCACCTTGTAACCAGGAGGTCCTGCGTTCGAACCCCCGTGGGTGCGTACTACTGAAGAGTTTCAATCTAGGCTGACGAAACAGCTGTCCAGTACTCCTAGTCGGTTCCCCAATGGTTCTCTAACCAATGTCAGCTCATGATGAAATCCTGTAACCAATCAAATCCCTACAAACCCACACTTAAATAAGATAAAATATTTGGAAAATCCTTATTCAACGATTTACTTACGATATTGGCGCTTATTTAAACATTCTAACTAACCGTGTAATGATGATCACTTTTTTCTCCTACACTGTATATCATTGTTCTCACGTTTGCATATCATCTGTCAACTTAATCTTTGCTATTTTTTGTCTTCCTTCCCGTTTAATCTCTAATGCTTTTAATGCTTCTCTTTGTCCTTTTGTGATTATAGGCTTGATAATGTGTTTTTTAACGAATTGCGATTTCGTTTGAGTGAGTCAAAGTAATTCTCACCTTGAATTGTCCCTCGTTGAGAATTGTTTAGTGTGTGATTTTTGCTGAGAGACTTGAGAGTTCCCACCTTGTTGGAAACTTCATACGGTTGATTTGAGTTAAATAAATTTGTTGTATACTACTTAGTATGTATACGAGAATTTAACTGAATCTCTCGAACTGCCTGACAGGATTTTTGAGGCAGTTTTTTTACCATTTGATATGTTATTATCGTTGTTAAGTAGTAGCGAAGATTTTATTGCAAATAACTGTCGTTTTGCTATAGTTGGGGAGGGGTATTTTTGTGAGCATGAGTAACTCAATGAAGTTTTGGACAACTTAACAGTGGGTGGCAAAGATCGATTTGCTACGTTTAGACCAGAGAACATCGGTTTCTTATCCTACAAGTTATATTTAACTTTTCTTGTTGCCCGTGAAATGTTTTAGCTCGCTTAGAACATTATGTGACACTTAAATATTCATCGGCCATACAGTGATTATAGTGCTGGCAGTGTAATTTCTTTTGGGTATGGTTGACAAATGGTGTTAGCATTCACAAAAAGTGAGATCTCGAGTTACTATTTTAATCAAACTTCTTCTCAAGCCTAACTGTATGCTTTAGTGATCTCTTCGAATTTTAGATAATAGCATAGTTCAACAATAGCATCCCAAGGGGTGCGACCACACTAGTGACCTTCGGCCGATTAATCATAAAAATAAGTGACTTTTGCGCAAAATAAAATGACGTACATTTACGAGAAAATGCATGAAAAACACATTAAACAAGTTGTCTTTCTCTGACATGACTCAAATGTACGTCCCAGTTGTAATGAAGACAAATACTCGCCGAAGACATTGGCTAGTGGTCGCGCTATTTCGTGAATTGGCAGAAGTTAGAATTCAAGGACCGTTGGATCGGGTCCCAGTGGCTTAATGGTATACGAGATCGCCTTGTAACCGGAAGGTCCTGGGTTCGAATCCTGGTGAGTGCGTACTGATGAAGAGTCCCAAAGTAGGATGAAACAGCTGCCCAGTACTCTTAGTCGGTTTTCCAATGGTTCTCTAACTATTGTCAGCTCATGTTGAAGTCCTGAAACCAATCAAATCCCTACAAACCAACACTTGAATAGTAATGAAGAGTATTAGTTGCTAAGTTCGACTAGTTTCTGTGCATGTATTCACCGAGGTGAATAAAGATGAGTTGTTTTTGTGAATCGTTTATATCTCTTATCTTATGTGTGTATTCTAAAAACTAACATGAACAAATGGAAAGCGAGACTTATAACAGAATCTATTTTCATTAAGGACACACCGGATACATGTAACAAAAGTGACTCAGTACAACTATCAACAACTTGGAATATAATTCTGAATACAAAAACATGAATGAGCACAAAAAAATAATAATGAACTATACATACATGAGTACAAATCATAAATGTGTGAATAAAACAATTCCAACAGTGGTGTGAACACGGGAAGTAGTTTTCCTCGAAATATTACCAATAACAAAACTTATCATTGTGTGTAAACTATTGAAATATAATTATACTTTATTTGATCTCTTATCTTGTTGTGCAGTCCTCGGTTGAATTAATATGGCTTTCAGTAAGAGGATCGACAACTACTTACCAGGAAGATGTGGATAATAAAACAAATTAAAATAAATGACACCATTTCTAAATATATCCCTAGGTGTTAACCATCCTCAATCCTGACCGTAATCCTTAACTTCACACTAACCCTAATTACACCTTTATCCTAACCTTAAACCTAACCTTAATGTTAATTATAACCATGATCCTAACTTTAACGAGCTATTAACACATTGTCCAAACAGGACTTATAAACGTAATCTGGGTGGAAATTGCTCCAGGTCACTGGAGTGTTCACACTCCTGGGACGCTATTGTTGAACATCACCCAGATAAGTTAGGTGAATGTTTTCCCGTTTTTAAATGTTTTAAAAACCGGCTGAATAACATTCAGTTTTCATCTACAGAAGTATGGTACAACAAAGCTTTTTCAATGCCCCATTTTTATGTATCTTTTCGCCTCCAATAAAACGATTTTCACAGAACTAAAGGTTAGCTTTGTTTAAATCTAATAAATATTGTAACTACCAAAATCGATATGTTGTGGTCTGAAAGTAAGAAGGTAATCTTTGCCACCTACTGTATAACTGACCAAAAGTCCCGCGAGTTGCTCACAGCCACGAAATACATCAAACATCAACAAAAAGACAGATGTTTGCGGTAAAATCTCAGGACCTTGACGCTCTTTTCGATTGTGACGCTACAGTCACTCAGTTATATGAAACTCTTATTACTGTGACGTTTCTTGCCAAAGAAAACTGTGGAACTTATTGTAATTATTTACCTTTCCAACATTGAGTCGGTGGATATAATCTTGTTGACCGATGATACATATAACTATCTGCTTACCATTTTGTGACTGTCTAATAATAATAATAATTTTTCCTTTACGTTCCCAGTGGAACATAGGGCTCCAAGCTAGTGGCTTGAAGTTTCTGTAGCAGTGGTGTTTATTTTTACAGGATGGGATTGCTAGCCTCATGCCCAACCTTTCCTCTTTACCAGGATTATTTCTGGCTCAGTGAGGTAAAGGAGTGCGCCGACCGAAGGTCGAACCCCGGACCATGTGGATGGTCGGCGAGCGTCCTAACCGCTATACCACCGACTGTCCAACACTATCTAATATCTATAACTGTATATATTGATGGATTACCATGTCTAAGTTGGCTCAAGTTAGTGAGTCTATGATTTAGGTATCATTTTTGTCAACTGTATCTGACTGTGATACTACTGCTAAGGTTATTTGTTTTTATTGTTGTTGTCGCTGCCCTTCCTGTTGTGAATTATTTTCCTTTTGCTGGTGTTTTTCTGATTTCTTTATTCCTTGTTTTCTTGATTTTATTGGAAGCAACCCACAAAGTAGCTCCTCTGTAAACTATATTTTATTGTAACAACCCCCTTCTCAGGCGTGAGGCTAGCAACCCTACCCTGTAAACAAATTTGCTACAGAAACTTCTGCACAATTAATCTCCTTGTGCCAGGTATTATAAAACAATAAAATAAAACATATGAAATAGTAAAAATTACCTCAAGAATCCTGCTATATTAGCAATACAACAACAGATTAAATTAGTTCTCGTGTATAAGACAGTTAGAGTGGAACAAAATTAGTTGACCTGAAATTCAACTGTAAGAAGTAAAACAAAAGTAAGAACAAAAACTGTGTTTTTACAACACAGTTTTTGTTCAGCGAAGAAATTTCTTTTCAACGACTTCATTTTCAAGCTGTACAGTCGTATTTATATTACAGAAAAAGGTTATTAAGTGGCACTAAATAATTGCTCAGTCAATGTACGTATATATGTGATAAAAGTTATAAGGGGTAGAGTTGAAGTGGATAAATTACAAAAATATTAAAGATTGTTTTATAACAAAAATGTCAAGTGTTGTCTAAAAATTTTGAAAATTAGGAGTACGATTACGATAAGAATGAAGATGTGAAGTGAAGTGGAAAGAATTCAAGTGGTAAAATAAAATAAAAACTAGAAAGAACATTATTATGACCAAGGTAAAGAAAGGGGTTTGACAAAACGCTTTTGAACACATAATTTAGGTTTCTGTTCATGTATAGCTAAAGCTTCGGCTATGCATAAGTGAAGAAAACGTAAACTTTTGGATCGATTCGATTTTGCCATGTATATAACTTTGAAAGATGAATCACGTGGGGCTAAATGACCAGACTCTAACAGGTGATCACAAATAGACGACTTTGCAGTTCTACGTTCGCCTTTCATTAACCAAACCGGATAGTGTTCAGCTACACGTTTTCGGAGATTACGCTTACAACGTCCAATATAAACAGCTCCACAAGAGCAAGTAAAAGAGTAAATGCACATAGATGTGGACAAAAGCGGTAATCTATCCTTGACGCATTGTCTAATCATATTTCGGCTGGTAAAAACTAGTTGCAGGTCAGCTGCAGGAAAAGTGCGTTTAACACATTTAGATAAACGA